ACATAAGCATTATGGCAAGGCAAATTTATTTCTATAGCACAATTCATAAAGGCAATTCAAAGTGCTGTGAACAGTTGGTTCATGAATCCAGCGGCACCAAAATGTGATCTTTCAGAAATATTTTGCATATTAAAACTGAGGTATATCTCGGCTCCACTGGTTACTGGAAAAGTAGATCTGGATTGGATTGAGTTTGAGTACCCTTGCTCTATATCTTCACTCTTTTTGTTTTGCAGTTTTCGCATAGAACAACTTGTAATTTTAATAAATAATCAGTCAACTATGTGCTTGACTAAGAAACCACCAACCAATTCATCAACGAATCTACGACTACAAGATAGATAACTATAAAATAGACCTAGAGGCGTCACCTGCTGGATTCCAAAAAGAGAATCACTGTCATAAAACCATGTCACTTGTTCACAATTGCCATTTTCTCCTCTGAGGACTTGACTCAGGTACTGTCAGTGGGTATGAGTTCCCGTCCTGATTGTGCCAAGTCCTTGCATCCGTACCACCCTTTTAATGCCGCGCATTCACACTCTTTACTGAATAATATATGAAGCGGATTCGGGTTTTCCTACTATTTATACAGCCAATGTATTTATTATTTATACTTGTTCATGTGGTGCATTCCAAACACATCAAATCAACTGTGCACCTAGATTAAGGGGTATAAATAAATCTATGAACATTCTTGCTTGTTATCTCCATTGTTTTGCTTGAAATGTTTTTTCAAAATTCTAAAACTTTCTTTTGTCAAGCCACTGCACCGATCTGACCCGTGACTTGGCCTATATGAGCGTTATGCCAACAGCCTCTCTCCGTAGAGACCCTCAAACAGTTGGGTACACTGGACACCTTTATTAATGAAAGTGCATGTTGCCAATAGGGCGCTTAGCTTGGAGAGGACTTGGTTTCCCATGGCAACAGGTCCACAAGAGCAGGAGAGCTTAAGTACTGCAGCAAAAAAAAAAATGTTAGATTCAAAAATAAATTTACTATGCTCTTGACATTTGAATGAAATCACATGCCACCTCTTTCACACAGACCAAACAAAGCAAAGGGGAGATATTGCATTAAAGCAGATGTGTCATTGGTTATAGTGGCGGTGGTTGGATGCTATTGGAAAACCTTAAATTTGATCAAATGGCCCCCAGTGCGGCTCCACCTCTCATTGTTCTCTGAGTGCAGCACAATCATATAAAGGCCGCCCTGGGGGGTGGCGAGAGGACAAGCTCAAAAATCAAATCTTGTCACTTGGCAACTGTTATTTTGACAAACATCTATCCAGCTTAGCCCCTTATATTGTATTATACATCAGAACCTGGGTTTGGTTGTACTTGTGAAAAATAATTGCTAAAAACCAACGTAAAGACACAAACAAAGGGGCAGCGATGGTGGAGGGCAGCATTAGAGGCAGGTAGCTCGGACTGGAAGAATGGATCATGATCATGAGGTTAAACAAATTTGCCTCATCCACACACCACAGCTCCCACATCTACTCGGGTAGGCGGCTGAGTGGATATCACTCTCGCTTCTCAGCAAGAAGGTCCTGGGTTCGAAGCCTGCTCAGAACAGGGCCTTTCTGAGTGGAGTTAGTGCATTCTCCCCGTATCTGCGAAGGTTTCCTCCGGGTGCTATGGTTTCCCCTACCACTAAAAACATGTACAATATGTCTGAATGTAATGAATAAATGATTGAATGGATGGTGTTGAATTGGAGCTTTGAGCAGCGTCTCGGTTCCGTCATCACCGTGTGTGAAAGGTCTGGTTTCTTAACATTGTAAAACATCCATCCATCCATTTTCTTCCCTTTAATCCATTTCTGGGTCAGGGGGGTGGCAATCAGAGATGCCACCCAAGTCTCATAGCACCAGCCCCTCACTGACCCTCTGCAGGTGGTGAGTCCACAGGAGGACGGCTGCTCTCTGAATGTGAACATAGCCTTGAACTTTCAGTGGGGGCTTTGGGCAAAGTGGGGTTAAGTGTCTTGCCCAAGGACACAACGACAGCAGTCATCAGTGGGAGTCGGTGGAGAAGGTGCAGAGGTGGGAATTGAACCCACGACCTTCTGGCCTTAAGGCCAATGCTCTACCAACTGAGCTACTGTCGCCCCCATTGTAAAACAGTGGTCTGTAAAATGCACTTTATAGATTAACATTACTAGTTACTTACTCACACCCACACTCCATTTAACATCGAACAATCTCAGTGTGTTTGTGTACTTTCACCTCTTGTCTACTTGTGTATTTATTTTTATGTTATTTTATTTTTTATTATTGTTTTTTCTTTTGTGTTCTTGTTGAATGTTGTTGTGTCTTGTCTGTTTTGTTGTCTTTAATAAATAAATATGACATTTAAAAGACTGGCTACATTGAATGACATAAACATAAATCTTCTATGATCTACATGTTGAGCCTGTTGTACACTTTCTTTTGAATCAATATAGACCTATAAACATCACGCCTACATGAGTGATTCATTTTGTTGTGTTTGTTTTGAATATTTGAAATGTATAGCTTTAAAAAAATATTATATATATATATTATGGTATCAACAATATAGGCCAAAGTATGTCACATTTTAGACAACAAAGCATTTCCTTCATTGATGAAGCTGGTATGCCCCTTCACACCAACCATATGACTGTTTTTTTCTCATCTTGAACACTGTGAGACTGTGAACAATCTCTGTTATCTATCTCTGTATCTGGAATGTTTGACAAAGTAGCGTAGAATGTGCGGCCTCAATGACTCCACTAAGTTTTTGGCAATAAAACGGATGAATTTAAAAATGCAGTTGTGCTTGAAAGCCAAACAGAATTTTGTTTGGGCCCCATTTAGGATATTATGAATGCAACACAAAACAGTGTTTTTTCACACATGGTTAGCGGTTGTGTGAAGCCATTTAAATTCTCAACAGAAACTACCCAAATGACTCCATCCCCCAGTTCTCAATAGTGTGCATTTTCTTTTGTGGTACATGTGGACAAGGTTCTTTTCTATCCTTCTCGGGAAAAAGCCTTCAATTCTTGTAAATTCCCGGGTGTAGATAGATAGATAGATAGATAGATAGATAGATGATTTTTTTGGTCCCCCCATAGGAGAAATGTAGGTGTCCAGTAGCAGCAGAACAAAAACATAGATCATTCTAAAAATAGCTCACAATAGTATTAAAACGCAGCAGCACTTCAGGTCACAGCAGCAGAGGTGTAGCCGCTTGGTTTGGACTATTTTCTCTGCTCTCGTCCAAAGTAAAATGCTAAACGTTTTGTTAGCATTTTTCAAAAAGTTAGCTTTCCTCCAGTGGATTTTTGCCAGATTCGCTTGGTTAGGTCCATGAATCCTCTCCACGCCTATTTGAGATCTTTACAGATGTCATGATTTGAAAATAGAACTCATGTTAGTTAGATATAACCTTTATGGCTTCATACTAAAAATATGTACAAGGCGGTATATAAATAAAGATTACTTACTTACTACTTACTATACAACCACCAACGATAGTGGAGATGTGAAATCATTAAGGATTTCAAAAGAATGGCCAAAACAATGGAATCAATTTCAAGCACAGCTGTAAATGTTGTTTCAGAATATGCAACATTATTTTAAGGCAAAGCCATTTTCACTGGACAATAGATGGAGAATATTTGAAAATATAATGATTTTCTTCAGTGGATTGCAAACGCAAAAGGTCAAAGCATACGTTATTGCCCCTGTAGGTAAAGTCGTCCTTATTCTTCCATGTCATGGCAGTGGCGTGGTCATGACAGTGGCGTGGTCATGGCAGTGGCGTGGTCATGGCAGTGGCGTGGTCATGGCAGTGGCGTGGTCACCACAGCGCCTCGGGACCTTCTCCAGATGTTGATGCTCTTTGTCAGAGCTGTAGGATTGTTAACAGTCGCGCATGTGTCAAACATTCAGACACAATCATATGTTGCAGTAACCAAACGTTTCCTCACGTGATGTTCCCATTACTAATGGTGTTGGGGGGGATTTTTGGGGAGAAACTTCAAAAGAAGATCATCACTGGAGTCCACCCATTACTATCCTCAAGTCACTTTGTATTTCTTTTGTACTGTACTATCATACCCCTGGACTCTCATTGAAAATGTGTTAAATGTCTACTTTGTGTACTTATATAATAGAATGTTATATAGATTGTTATGCTTGCCTTTATATGCATAGTATTCTACCCAACACGGTCTCATAGTCATCTCTTCCAGTCCTCTCTGAAAAAACTGAGGAGGTTCTATTTCTGAGTGGATCTTCAAGACTATTGGTCCTCCTAACTGTCAATCATACGTGCTCGTGAAATTATTATTATTATCATAATTATTATTATTGTTATATGTTTATTTGATAGGGGCAGAACAAAAAGCATTGCCATGTTCATAGACCATATAGCCAACAGCTAATTTGCAGACGTGGTCCCTAAGACATAAAAATACATCACATTTACATAGATCATCATAAAAACACAGATTACACAGTACATCAGTTTTACAATCGACGATTACAGTCTTGCATTGTGCTCACAAGTTTGGTTCCTTTTGAGCCATTGATTTAACTTTATCTTTTTGTATTATTTCTTGAAGCCTTGCCTTGTACTTGCTATGTCTCTACGACAGTTTGTAATGATTTATATTTTGAATTAAAAATAAAAATATAATACAAACAAATAGTTACTCTTTTCCGTTACAAGCCCCACCAGTCCATGCTTCACCTCAGACACACTCCATCCGCTCCATCCCTGTCCCTCTTTACGCACACCAGCCCGCCCCTCCGCGTCACCGATTCAAAGTGGAGCCGAGCGGCCAAGAGCGCGTTCAGTCAGTCAGCCAGCGGAGGCAGGAGAAGGCGATCCTACACACACGCACGCACACACACACGCACACACAGCCTCTCAAGCCGGGGACAGACGCCCGCTCGCTGGGGAAGACCCTCCGCACACTCGGACCCCTTGCGTATATGACCGCGCACCGGATCGGATCTAACCATGTGGACTGAAGTCGGGAAGCTTATTCTCGTGCATTTGTTTCTCGCTGAGATCCATTGCGCTAAAGGTAAGCCACCAACCACTGAGCCAACACAACAATCCCCTACACGCACACATTTCTTTTTGTGCATCAGAACACAGCTTTTGGATGACCGCGTCTTTGTCAGCGTCTTTCCGTGCACCATTACGCGCCAGTATTCTGACTCTAGCAGGATGTGAGTAGGTGTGATATTGCAATACGTGGAAGAAAAGGCAAGGGACAGGTCTCTAGTATCGCTCCCAACACGTGTCCAAAACGCCGTATGTGTCAAAAGCCATACGTCCTGCCTGCGACTATGTGTTTACAAAATGCACACCGCGTCCTTGCCTTGGTTTTACGTAGCCATATGCGTAAAGGCAATAGTGTTGTTTCTTCTTTATGCTGAATGATTTGGTAACTTTACGAGGCAATGTGGCAGCGGCAGGCGTGCGTAATACGGTCACAGCCTTCAGCTACTACACGTAAGCAATCAATCATATTTGTGGTTCATGAAAACAAAAGATGTGGTTGGCTGTATGGCTAGGACTAGTAGGGGTGACATCAGATGAAGGGATTGTATTATTGGGAACGATAGCCGAGGCAATAAATACATGAACTCAATTGGAGCAAGAGTTACTGAAATAGGAAGGAGTATCAATGTGTTTCCAAATTGATGTTGGAATGGATTGACAACTTTGCATTTTAGAAGTGCTTTGCGATTGTTGAGTTCAAGGATGTCCTGTTGCAATGTTTACACAACATCTGACTAAGAAGTGAAGCAGAGTAAATCCACATGATGAAAAATGCACAGTTTTGTCATTTCATATTCATTTGGTTTTGTTTGTGATTAGTTTGCATTTGACAAAACCCATAAGCACTCACGGTTTAGAATACTGAATACATGACTCTAACTGTATTTTTTACGGTATTCCGTTACATTGGAAAAAGTAGCACTTGTATTATGAATACAAATACATTTTTTCTTCATACTTGTAATCATTATGTGTGTTTAATTTATATTTACTGTACATTAATGTGTATTAACTTGCTAAAGGTAAATTCCAAGAGTTTTAAAAACCACAACCTCAATGAATGTTTAAATAAATGAAACATGTATTTTTTTGATAATTTGTTGTTTATTTTTTGTAAAACAAGTCAAACAGCTGCATTTAACCAGAAAAAATAGACTTTAGATTTTAAACTTTAAAACATAATGTGAAATAGTATGTATTCCCAGGATTTTCAGAAGGTAACTTTATTCTAAGTACTATTATGTATTCTGAATAAATAATGGCATTACATGTAACCCAACCCAACACTGGGGAGGCAGCAATGTTAATCCAAGACGCAAAGGTTTCGCAAAATGTTTACTCAAGTCATGTATGAGTTTCTGAGGATATGGTCGACAATTTAAACCAGTCATAGCCTCTTTTGAATCTTTTGAATGAGATAATTTTCATGAAAAGTTTTCATTAAACCTGACGCAAAAACCCACTCAAACTGCGATGTTTTTCATTTGTCATTAGAGTCTGTTGCTCTAACCCTCAGTGCTTTGCTGCGGGCCCTTTTAATGGGCTTGTGGTCAGCCTCTCTTCACCCATACTAACATTTTGTGGTGTTTTTTTAGGCACCCACGTGGAATCGGAGTGTGAGACAGGGCAGTTTCAGTGCAGCAACGGACGCTGCATCCCGACTCTGTGGAGATGTGATGATGACGACGACTGCTCGGACAATAGTGACGAAGAAAACTGTCGTAAGTTTCCCAGAGTTACAACTTTTGGCTTTGTGTTTTGCTGCCTGTGGGTTTTGTTATGGAGCGAACTATCTGGACTTTTAGTGGTGACTTTGGCGCATTTGTGTACCAATCAGTTAAGGAGCGCTGACTATTTATCTGCTGATCAGGAGAAAAAGATCCATAGGAGTTATTAACACACTATGATTGTCCTTTTACTGCATGTTTGATTATTTCAGTTGGTCAGGGAATCTTCATCACTTCCGCAATCGTGTAGGGTTTCAGGCTGACACTGGTCGTCAAGGATGGCTCGGCAAATATGGAGAATTTCACAACATCGTCTTAACAAATTTCAGCCTAGTTTTGTTTGCTAACGTGCAAGTTCTATTAGAAATTTATTTATTTTTTGGTGGCCATTTTACGTGTGTAAAGGTGCCTTTACACTAATGCAGTTCGGATAAGAGAACCTTAATTTTATAGTGGGGACATTTTGCTTGTTGATTTTGAAGTAGACCAACTGTCGGCATTTAAAACAGTCAAAACAAAAAAAATGAATTTATACATGTGTGATTGAACACTGGGATTTTTATACCTGTCCTAGTACTCAGAACCACTGCACCCTACACATGATTTACTTTCAATATACCTTAAGGACATAAATTGGAAATATTCAATCCAACCACTTAATTTATACAGCACATTTCATAAACGTTTTCTAAAGTCCTGCACATTAAAAGACTAATTGAAAGAAGTCCATGGTAAAACTGTAAAATCTTAAAAAAAAAAAAAAAAAAATGTCTGCATATATTAGACACATGCATTAGTTGGTTACTTAATATTATGTTCCAAATTGCCACTAGTTTTAATGTGAAAAGTAAACTGCTCATAAAAACATAATGACAGTTCTGTTTGAATCCTGGAATATTTTGACAAAGCCCCCAATCATACCGTATGTCTATGTGTATAGCCACACTAAATATCTGGTATTTTGTATAGAAAATATTTATCTGAATTTAACATGGGAAAGAAGTTGTCTAAAGTGATTGTTTTAATGTTATGTCTGATTGATTTCCATGTAACTCATTGTATGCACTCGTTTCAAAGCGAAATGAAGTCCATTTTTATAGCTACTTTTGCATGAATGACATTATCCTGGTAGTATAAGCTGATTTACCCTTTTGGAATCTGTGTGTCAGTTGTTAATCTGCAGACGCTGATGCTGAACCGCTGATCCCAGATTGGAGTTTGGGTCACATGGCTCAGGGAATTTCATTTTTACTCATTTCAGTGGCTGTGGAGAACCTCCTAGGGTCACGGCAGGTTGATTTCATAATGTCATTATTATTAGCTGAAGATAATGGCAGCTTTGATACTGGCCCCCATGACTGTCTTTTATGTGTTTGGAGTTTTATGAATTATGTCTCTTGTTGGTGCGTCATGAAACTTCGCAGCATCGAGTAAATCATGTGGGAGAACTTGCTATAAATTACAAGTGTGCTGAATTGCGATTTGTTCTGTTTGTAAAGACAAAAGTAGCAGTTATACTTGTGATTGCTTTCTGACTGTCCATAATTATAGTCTGTTTTGTGGGATTGGCTTTTTTCAAATGTCTACGTGTGATATGATAATACTTTGTCACATGTTTGACTCCAAACACTAAAATACACTTCTCAAGCCTCTCCAACTTGACAATTCTCAGCTATGTATAATTGCACTCTTTTGTATATCTCTTGTATCTTACTGTCATTTGTCTTCCTGTGCTTTAATGAACATGAGGTTATGTATTTCTCCAGGAACTACATAAAGAAAAAAAAAGGGATTTCTAGTACATTTACAGATACGGGGATGAATACTTTGTCCTTGTCAAATTGACTAAATGAATAGTTATTTTCCAAATACTCAAAAATGTAAATTAACCCTTTTGGCATCATAGAAAAAAAACAGCCAGAATGATGACAAAAAATAAAAATAAAATAACAGAAATGAGTAACAGTAAATGTTTCTGGGAAGTCCGGTCACTGTATTTAAAAGTGTCCAGGATTAATTTAGGAGTTTACTGTAGGGATGCACCAATACAGATACTGGTATCGGGTCAATACCATAGGCTTGTACTCGTACTCGTACTCATAAAATGTCGGTTACTCGTATCGGTTTCGAAAAAAGTGCATCCCTAGTTTACTGTATGAAGCACAACTGTTGATTTGGTGACAATACATTTATGATTCTGGGAATTGTTCACGTATCTGCAGCACGAATTGAAACATATTCCATTCAAAATCATTTACCGTTTTAATGATTCACATTCTCTCTAATCCACAAATTCAGACGACAACCAACGGAGTCATTAAGATACGTTTGTCACGCTCATAATAGCCAGCGGATGCGTTTCCAGTGTCCATATTGCTCTTATCTCCCCAGAGCCAGCCAACCATACTCCAGTTTCATCCTCCACGTATCCCACATCTGCTCCTGGATGTCTGGGGACCTGCCGCCGTGGCTGCCCTGACATTTACACACCCTGAGCATTGACTGCAGAGACTGATGTAGATTATTGGACGTTTAGTGGGAGAACCGTGATTGAGGTGGAATGAGAATTTAATGAGCTCTTTCTTGGTGTGGCTTTGGGAAAAACGCTGCTTAAGTTATGTGACAGTGTTCTTGGTTTCATGTGACCACTATGTTTGATGAGAGACGTTCCAGTGGATTTGACTTGTTTACTCAGACATTGGGAGGGTTTAATGACATGTGTTTTGGCTATCAATGTCAATGTCAGAGTTTGCATGAGCTCTTCCTGGTTGGTACAGGGTTTTAGCAGCATAAAGTCAAATTACATTTCTGACATTGCACAGTCCTACTCTTGTCCTACTTCAAAAAGTTGTATCTCTATTTGTATTTATCTATAGCTTAGTTGATTATAACATGTTTAAAATGTATTTATGGTTGTCGCTGCTGCCGCAACAATGCCAAAAACTTTTCCACCACAACCGTCTTTTGCAAAATCTGAGTGATCCTCAACTTCTGAATGTCCACTGAACAATGTCACTTTACTTTATCTACTTATTATCCTGCCATATATGTACAGTGTATAACTCCGCACTACACATATATATATTGTTTGACTTGAAGCATTTACAGCATCTACAGCTTGTTATTTATGCTAGTTAAGAAACATGGCTCCTACTTATTTTGTATTTTGTATATTTTGTGTGCTCCCTGTGTGCTCTTACCAGTAGTAAGAGCACACAGGGAGCACACAAAATATACTGTATGTGCGCTGCAACATCGACATTTCCCCATCTTATCCTATCTATGCCAAAGTGACATGTCAATTTCTCCAGTGTGAGATCTATAAAGTCTATCTTATCTTAATCTAAAGCCAAAATATAATGTTTACTATTTTTGATAAGTGCTTTGGAAATTCCAAGGAAGGGGATTTTAGGACATTTTAGTCTAGAGTTATTACACATTTAGCAGACAAAAACAGCACCTGATAAATTTATAGACATGTTTTAGTAATTGAGGACAATGTTTCATACTTAAAACATATTTTCAACTAGCCTCAACACTTTACTATTGTACTAACAGTCTGGCCCAGGTCTAGAAAGTAGAAATTTAAAATCAGGCTTTTTGATATTACTCACAAGAAAGCACAGGTGAATACAGTTGGACTTTCACTTTGGACTCTATCTTGCTTCTTGGCTCTTTAATAGCTGCTTTCTGAGAGTATCTCCCCAACAACTGTTATTTCCTCTGCCCCCAGGTTCCGTCTTTATCTCCCCCTCCCTCGCTGTGCCTGGTTTACGTCTTTGCCCTTCAGCCTTTGTTGGATCTTCTGCGCTAAACTCTGAGGAGACTTTGCTTCTTTCTGTTAGTACACTCCAACGGGGGTTAGTATGAGGAGGGCAATGGGCCAAAACTCCAGTACAAGCCAGCATCAACATCACAGTCCCAGTAACTTGGTATTGTGCCATCAGAAAAAGAGGTTAGGACATGAAAAACATAAAAAATTAGAGCTGGGGTACCTAACTTTCATACCACAAAAAGACTATGTAAAAATCCATCTCAATGGTCTGGTTCTATCTCTGGTTTTCACATGGATGTATTTTTTGTCCTCGGTCACATCTGTAGACTAGCTCTCTTGGACAGAGAAGAGGAAATTAAATGACCACTCAGCCAATCACGTCTCAGCCCAAAGTGTCAAATAGTGACTCACAGGGCTCGTACTTACAAGGATGCCAAATGTGAAGTTTTTTTTCTTGTAGAGTGTGGTCGGATTTGTTCACAACTTTTAGAATAACTTTTGGGACAAACTTGGGCATTAAACACCATATACCATCGCCTGTCTAAAATTGGACTGTGCTATGTGACGAGTCTGAAATTCTCACATGAAGCAAAACACAACCACAATGACCACTGCTATCACCAAAATCTGTTTGGGATTACCTGCTTTGTTACTGCTTTTTATAAATTTCTCCATAGATTTCTCCAATATTCACATTTTTGTCCTATTCCCTTTCATTCCGATGACCATTGCTCTGTTATTCCTAATGACTTGTGTATTTTCCTCTTCCTCTGCGCTCTCCTCTCTCTCATCCTCGACATGTATCTCAGTAGATTGGGCTCTTGTTGCCCTGGGAAACGGTTGTAAAGTGTTCATGCCATTTTTTCTCTTCTTCCAACATGGATACATCCCAACGTGAAGAGATTAAAACATTCCACCCCTGCACATTTTCTTATGACCCATATACAGCTACAAGTGCAGGCTCTTCATATGTAGTTTAAACACTGTCTGTGGGGTTGTAATTTCATGCTTTGTATGGGCGTATGTCAAATCACATCTGAACAGCTTTATTTTTCATGTTCTTTTTAATAATGCATCATATGAATGGCTTCTGTAAGGTTAACGTGACGATACACAAGTGGTGGAATCATTACCCGGCAACATACAAGGCCCTAAGCAGGTCATGTCTCTTGCCGATTGGTATATACAGTAAATGTTGAGCAGCCCGTCGTCACAGCTGTTTCTAGCCATAAGCAAAGTTCCTCATTGTAATTAAATCTTTTTGATAGAAAAAATGCTCAGAGCAATTTTGGAGGGGATTAATTAGTTATAAAACAGAAATAGAGATCCTTTTTGTCACTTTACTTTATGTACTTATTATCCTGCCCTTTGTACAGTATATAACTCTGCACTACTACATATATATTTTTTGACTGGTATTGAAGCATTTACAGCATCTACAGCTAGTTAAGCTAGTTAAGAAACATAGCTGCTACTTATTTTGTATATTGTGTGTGCTCCCTGTGTGCTCTTACTACTGTCCATGTATGTGCGCTGCAACATTGAAATTTCCCCACTGTGGGACGAATAAAGGAATTCTTATCTTATCTTATATGTATGACATCACAGAACCGGCGGATTGAACATCGAGGTGGAAGTCGCCCGAGTTTGTTTTGAGCTATTGTTCATAGGTGTTAATTGTGATTTTTTTGTATTTTTTTTTAAGAAAGTAAAAACATTTTTTTTTGATGATGCTGCTTTTTGGCCTCTCACTTTGTGGTTATTAATTGCATGTGACTTGACATGTCGTAGGAGAATAATCCAAAGCTATAACATAAGAAAAACCCCCAAAGAAAAGAAATACATTTCCATCTGTTTACACACACACACACATACACATACACATACACATACACATACACATACACACATACACACATACACACACACACCCCCTTTAAACAAGAAATAGCCTTTAGAGCCCTTCTCTGCATATCTGAAACATCTTCATTGGAAAATAATGTTCAAAACCATTTATTCAGAATTCTGCATGATATATGTAAAGACTTTTCCAGTTTGGAGTGAACTTTTGAAACCAGTTGGAGATTGCACAGCACAAAACAATAGACTTGTGTGTGTGTGTGTGGTATAGGTCGGTTTGTCAGGACAATGGGTCAGAGCAGAGCGTCTCCTCCCCGGCTTCCCATAGAGGACACATCACAACAGATTTCACGCCACCAATGTCCCTCCGTGGGCCCAACACACACACAGAGACACACACACATACACACACACGCACAGGCACACAGGCACACACACAAACACACACACACATATGCCAGTCTAATGGTCCTGCAGAGAGAGGCTCCAGGCTTAGTAGAAACCATATTTTGGTCACCTGCCATCACCCCCCACCCCCCGCATACAGCTATCCGGTCCACAGCTGGGGTTGGGACTTTTAATGGGGGGAGGAGGTCAAGGCGAGCCCAGGCTTAATCAATTTTACGCTATTGGAAAATCAGGAGACACGGACGGCGGGTCAAGAGTTCCATTGATGAAGTTGACGGTAGCCTCTGCTGAATCTGAGCTGAGCATAAATCCCTCTATTTGGATAATCTAACCAGCTACCAGCAGGGGAAGTGAGGGCAAAGGGAAAGTCTTTGAGCAGAGTACATTGACCAATCAGTGATAAGCTATTGTTATTATAATTTTGATTTAATGTACGTAAGAAGAATGTTGTGATAAAATCTGATCCCTGGAAGAATGTAAACAATCGGTTTGTTCTGATTTTTGTCCGGGAACTGAAATTTGGTATGGGTCAGATTAGGACTGTTACTAGCTAATCAATTAATCGCAACTAATCAATCAATTTGAAATGGTTGTAAAAGATCCCATGACATCATTTTCTGATGAACTAAATCGAGAGCTAAACAATTCATCCATTTAGGAAAGAATTGGACTTCATTCCTTATTATTCTAAGACTTCCTTTTTTGCTAGCGTTAGAGATTTTATTTTATTTTAGTATAGAGCTATTATTCATCCATCTTTTGCTGTGTGCTCCTCATTCCTACTGTTCTGTAATTTGTGATGCAACACTGAAATGTCCCCACTGTGGGAAGATTAAAATCGCTTGATTTTAATCTTCCCACAGTAATGTGACACGTATCACATTACACGTTTTTACAAAACTTTTTTTTAGTACAAGCCAAATGTGGCTCTCTAAAACTAGAGGACAACTAAAATCAATAACAGAAATGAATATAAGAAAAATATAGATGTTTGTGTGAAGCCATGTCTCTATTTAAAATGTGTCCTATACTCTGTTACTTTTGTGCCTAAACTCTAGGGTTAAACTCTAGGGTAAAGATGATATAATGTGAGGGTAAATTTTAGCGTCCTGTTGCACCCATCACCAATAGTTATTTTCTGTATACAATAATATAAGATAAGATAGACTTCATGGCTAAAGAAATTTCTACGTCACATTTGGCATAAATTGGACCACTGAGGGTTTGCCAAAGACCGGAAATGTGCAGACAGGGAATGTGCAACTAAAGTGAAAAGACAGTCTCTTTTGTGCAAGATATATTATGTACCCCATAAGACTGCCAGCTGGCACACTTCCATTCAAACCTAACGTCATTATTGAGATAGTGAACGCAATCAAGTCGACAATTTGTCCCCTGCGTCCTGCTGACCTGACAGATGACAAGCATTCAGCCGC